ACAGGCAGCAAGAAATTAGCCGGACAGCCAGGCTGGACCACAAAATCCACTGTTGAATTTTTAAAAGCTTTACTAAGATACTACGAATCGCTGTTGCACACAGCCTCTTTAAGCTGGTTATCTTTTTCCAGCACACTGGTTATATAAGGAACATTCATTTGGGGGGTTTAAAGCTCCTCTTAGGCCTGTGTGTAATGAATTAAGAACAGAAAAAAAGGATGGCAACAGAGTCCCAATGGAGATGTATGCAATTTTCCATCCTCCCCCCTTCCCATTTCATCCCCACCGTTAACCTTGCAGCTCCATTCCAATGCTTCCCAGGTGTCACATGACCATAATTGACAAAATCCAACAATGCTCAAGCAGAAAAGTAAATAGAGATAGAGGCTAATAATCTCAATATCTATGAAAATAATAAGAAATAGCAAATAAACAATGAGATATATATATATATATTACAGTATAATATTATAAAAAATAAATATAATATTATATAATATTATATATATTATATCTTGTTGTTTTTAAGATAATTTGAATGTGGGTAATTTCATCTTATTTCAAAAGTTTTGCCAAATTCCAACAAGCACAGGGCCAGGTGCATGCTGATGGAGCATGTAGAGGTGACCAGCATCATGGTACCATTCTTTTAGCAGCTGTTGGTCAAACAAACAAGCCCCTATGGTAGTGCTTTGTGAGCACGGGGCAGGAAGACATGTCTGTATTTATTTTAAGCTAAGCTAAAGATATGATAGCCGAAGCTTCAAAGTGTGCAGGCGTGAAATAATACTCTGTTTAAAAAAAACAAAAACATTTACGTGCTGTAATATTTTGACTAAGAGTTGTTGATTTGGGTTTTTTTTTCTCTGTATGGTGAAAATAATGCTGTGATGCTGACTAAGAGCAATGTACAGGTCTTCTTATTATCACACAGCTACATGAGCCCCTTCCTCTGTTTGGATGAGTGAATCCTTCCTGAAAGGATAGCCTTAAGAATATGTCATAAAAAAAAATACTCCCCCACAAATAGTTGGATATGAAAGGAACAGGTGTAACTAGTAACAGTCAGTGGCTCTGTATTCAAGCATAACTGAAAAACATGCCAGCTTGGTACAATAGCAGCTTTTTGGGACATGGAGTGGTGCCATTATGGGCGTTATTAGACCCACCTGTCATTTTGCAGCAGTGACACGGAAGATTCCCTCAATTCCCTCAAGCAGCCACTGTCTAGGTTTTGATCATATTACATGATTTCATAACTAAACTGTTTGCCAAGCTTTGCCAAAGCTTGCATGCAATTGTATAGGTGTGTGTTTGGGTTTTTAAGCATTTGTCATCTGAGCAATTTTAATCCACAGCAACTGAGTAAACTCAATCTGCTGCACAAGACGCTCAGACTTAAAGTTCAGCATTAGACGGCTGTTTAGAATTGTTTAGGATGAACTTTTAGGATTCCATTTAGTTTTTTTCACCATCTAATCTCCACTCATCTGCTCCTTTTATGGCCGAGTGGGCATTCAGTGCTCCCATTGTGTTTCAGCATAACAGACAATCCTCTTAACACCCATACTGCATCTCATAAAAGAGCGATAACACCAGAAAGTGTCCGTCCTTTCAAGGCACCACGTGCCCTTCCACAGCCTGCTGAAACAGTGATGGTCCTTAAGGATGAGTCTTATGACTTATTAACCACTAAACAAAGAGAAAGTAAGCAGACGAGTAATGGGTTTTGTTTCCTGGTCCGTCTGGGCTGCGCTTATTTTTCAGGAAGTTCATTTTCTGCTTGGTTTCAGTTACATGTTGAATTATTAACGCACATGTCGCACATCTTAAAAAACATTTCCTTCCTCTGTTTCTCTGATGCTACATGTGCCGTGAGAGGTGTATATATATACTACACATACTGTGGACAAGAGCCAACTTGCACTGAGGCTGCCGGCTACAAGTGCTCTCATGTCAAATATAGGCTACTACAGGGGCAGAGGTCACACGCAACAGTCACAACATGCTTCTTTTATCAGGTAAGGGGAGCGCAGCTGAAAGCCTATTTAGGGGAACAATGACAGAAGAGGAAGGATATTTTGTGTCTCTGTGTGTTTGTGTGCGCGCTCGTACGTGGTGTTGGAATTTGTGTACGTGACTATGAAACACATCACGACACCACAAATCATGTGACGTCCAAGCAAAGCAGGTATTGTTTGCAGGGCACGTTAAAAAAAATAAGAGATGGAATTTCCCCCTCAGCTAACAGGAGTACAACTTTAAGACTTAAAAAGTTACCTTCTGCCATTTGTTGTCTCTGAATTAGTATTTTTTAAAAATGCATGTGTGTGAGCTTGAGTGTGATATGCTGCGACTGTAGTAGTTGGTTGTAACAGGAGAGAGACAACAGCAGCGTTTTATGGCCCCCTAAAGTATGCTAGGGCAGACAGGTACATGCTGTAAACAGTTCTTCCTTTGCCAGACTGCCTTTGGTTCACTGCTTCAGGGGTTTTTGATAAAGAAGCTGTTGCCTGGAAACTGGGGCACTCCTAGATTTTTTTGATATTGTCAGTACTTAACCTCTGATATGTCTACATTTTAAACATTAACTTTGCTCTGTGTATAAAAGCCTCTAACAATGACTCTTTTGATGCTCCATTGCATAATTATGAGTAATCTGGAGTATGTTTGTCTATTTAAAGCTAGATATTCACAAGCACACACTGTGTGTTGACATATTATAGGGTCCATTCAATAATACTTATTTATGTTCTAGTTTTTCAGTTTCATTCTGTGAAGACAATAATGGCTCCGTGTAACAACAAGGCATTCATTCAACACCACTCTGCACTGTCATGCTGGTAAAGGCAGTTTTGCTGTATAAACAATAGATTCACCATCCACCCATCCACCTATCTGCTCATCCATCCAATTAAGGGTTGTGGGAGGGGGGTGTGGGGGTGGGCTGGAGCCTATCCCAGATGTCACTGTGAAAGAGGTGTGGCACAATGCGGACGGGTTTCTAGTCCATCACAGGGCTGTTCACCACAAGGAAACATTACATTCTTTCGTTGTTTTTAGAAGTGCACCACCTAGCGTTGAACAGTGAGTGTACACTTACTGGCCACTTTATTAGGTACACCTTGCTACTTGTTGTGTCAAAAAGTAATCGTCTGAAAAATTTATTTTTGAATTCCTGTGTGGGGTTTTTTTAATGTCTAATATCTTTATTTATATTGGTAAATAAATAAAGTATAATATTATACTGTAATAAACAGGATTCATGAGGAATGTATATAAAAAGAAAATTTTGCAAGTATCTTCACAACTCTGCGTTCTTGTAAATTATCAATCACTTAAGTTATCTTTATAAAACTTTTTGTTGTTATATGTGTTATATATTCTGCCCTCTTGGCCAGATCTCTCTTGAAAAAGACATTTTTTATGTCAATGAGACTTTTTACCTGGATAAATAAATAAAATGAAAGAGTCACTTTGTCAGAAACTGATTGCAGCTTCTACCTATGATAGGAATGTTCTTTCTGGTTCAACATGGCTTAATATTATCATGAGAGTTATGTTTAGCATATTGTTTTTTTCACAGATTTTAGGCCATTTATTCATAGTCATTTATTACCGTTTCAATTCTCAAATCCCTTTTTTGGAACAACATCCAGGATGAACCTTCAGAGCAGCCTTAATTCTTCATGGCATAGTTTTAACAAGGTGCCCAAATTATTCCTCAACGAGTTTGGTACATAGTAGCATGACAGCATCACACAGTTGCTTCACTCTTCCATGATAAGAACCTACCTGTTCCACCACATCCCAAAGGCACTCTATTGGCTTGAGATCTGGTGCTTGTGAAGCCATTGCTATGATCAAGAAACCAACTGGAGATGACTTGAGCATGGTGGAAGCAGCCAACAGAAGATGGGCACACTGTGGTCATAAACGGCTTGATAACAAAAAGATTGAGGTAAGCTGTGGTGCTTAAATGGTCCAAAGTGTACCAAAGAAATATCTCCCACACCACCAGCAGCCTAAACGATTAATACAAGGCAGGATGAATCCATTGTTATATGTAATTTATCCTAATTCTGACCCTGGCATCCAGTTGCATCAGCAGAAATCTCATCAGACCAGACAACATTTTTTTACGGTTTTCTGTTGTCCAGTTTTGGTGAGCCTGTATGGAATTTGCATGTTATCCTCGTGCCAGCAGGTGTTCCCTGTTAACTGGTGATTCTAAAGTGGTCATGGATGTGAGACTGATGACGTTTTGATGAACTGTGCTGTACAAATGCATTCAAATGTGACATTTTTTACTGTGAAGCACTTTGGTGTACCCCCTGGTCATAAACGTGCTATATAAATAAAATTGTATTGTATTATATTGTACCTACTCTAAATGGCTAAATCTAAAGATTGAGTTGTGAAAAAAGTCACTTTTTCATATTTTAAATGTTATTCTTTATAAGTTAGTTACTTTCGTGTAGTATGAATGGCAACAGGTTAGATCTTAATGAATAGGAAAACTTTTTAAAAGTTTTTAAAATACAGTTAAAAGTCCAAAATCAATCCTCTCAGTCAAATTTTACAAAGCTGTACAGTGGGCCAATTCTTGCCCCTGGGCCTTATGTTTGACACCCACAGTCTTGACTATGGCTACATGCCCAGAGTTGCTGACATGTGATTGGCCAATTAGCTAGTATTAGCAACCAGCAGTTGAATAGATGTACTTAATAAAGTCAGTGTACACCTAAATGAGGTCTGTATTGAGCTACAATGTTTCTAACAAAGATTTGCAACTTCTATATTCAGGCTTCTTAAATTTCCAGTTCTCTCTTTTTTTTGTATGAGTAATATCATTCAGAATAAAATATTACAATTTCACAATTAGCAACAGAAAAGAGATAAAGAAAAGTTAACATTTGCCTCTGCTCACTGCAGTTCTAACTATTATTATGCTGCCTTGTGAGCTCGGTTTGTCAAGGAAATCATGGCAGAAACACAAAAAAATTAAAACATTTTATTACAAACAAAAACAGTGATACCGTTCCTGAATTTCCTTGGTGATTAATATCAGAGACATGGAAAGCTTTACGCACAACCCCCCCACAGCCTCTTAACAAGTGAAAGAAAGAACATTTTAAAGATCATAACTGGCAAATCGCACCCTCCTCCATCAAAACAACACAACTCTGAAATACTGGGAATACACCTGTCTGTGTTAAAATACTGTCAGTTGATGATATGGAAAAGAAAGTGGAGTATATAGGATGGATGATACCATGCTGAAGCTATCCATTTTAGCACGTCCCCTTAGTTAAAGTCATGATTTGATTGTCAGTTGCCTTCTCATCACAATTGAGAAAATGTCAGTATCAAAAAATGCCAATTAACTTTAAGTGATGGTCATTTTAGTAATTTAAGAATTTCTAAGGTTATTTATTCTCTTAAAGTCTGCCTTTTTACAGACATCAGCTAAATAACATGAAAGCTCCAAAGCACGTAATGAGCTATACTGTCTCCTGAAGGGATGCAGTGGTGCAGGTTTTGCTCACTTATTCCACTTGTAAAGAGTACAGCGCCTCACTCTGACCAAATATCTTGTTAGACATGAGGTATGTCAGCTGACATGCTTTGTACAGTAATAAAAATCATAATGTGCAGTTCTAACAAAAGGTAAGATTTACATCTTATAACAAAGCATCAGTGGTGACAAATCAATCTATAAAACAAAAAATAAAAGGTTACATGGTTTAGAAGAGGCCTTGATGGTGAATTAAGGGCAAGTTTTTGTCATTTGTCTCAGGTAAAACATTCAACTCCCACTTCAAAAGCTTTGCAAGCGTGAAGACGTGAGGCCCCCAGAGGCTGTAGATCTCTCTTAATTAGATCTGTTGTTATTCCTCTGCCTGTCCTTTGGCACCTCTCTTTTTCCATTTACATCAGTGTGCTGTGGATCCTGCTGTGGCATTGAGCTGCAGCAGCGCTGTTACATTCAGGGCTCTCTATATATTGCGTTCTCTGCCATCCGTCACTGTGTGATGAACTGCTGACCTCCCTCTTTAGGCGCTAGCCTCCTGGCAGTTTGTGCAACTGCGTGCCACCCTCTGCCTGTGTGTCTGGATCTGCACTGTGCACCTGGTGAGGCCGTAGGTGTGAAGCAGCATGTGTCGCGCCTTTGCCTGGACCTCCTCCCAGTTGTTAGCACTGGAGGGCGCTGTGCACACAAAGAGACCTTTAAATATATTATATATATACACACACACACACACACATACAAACAACAACAACTTGCAACTAACAAACAAACAGCTTATGATAATTAGGGCTGGTGACGCCAACAGACTGGCTCTGTGATTGGCTGCACACTGGACACCGTTTAAACTTTGGTGGAGAAATTATGCATCACGGATAATCCTGTCCACCGTCTGTACCACTTACTGGACAGGAGGCGTTTTCTCCTCTCAGATTCATTCAGCTGTGCTGCCGTGAGGACAGATGCAGGAAATCTCGCAGTAAGTCTAGACATTGCAACACATCTGTCTGAGCAGTATACCAACATGACCAGGCTTTCGATCGACAAACTTAAAAACCTCAGTCAGAGGTGAGGGGTGTGACAACAGCAGTTAGCAGCTTTCTTTGTTACTCCAGGCTTTCTGCTTCTGGCTCTGGGCATGCTTACGTCACATTAAATTCATCTGATCACAAACACATGCAGAAGAATAAATGTAATAGTATATTTACACTAGTGTGCTCTTTTTAAACTGCATGCACTTAAACATTAATGGTTACTCGGTGCATTCAGCTCTGACACTATCCCATAGCCTAATAAAGAAGAGAACTCGATTTGTTGTGTCACCATATCAAAGTGAAATTAATTTTTGATGATGAATAACCTAAAACTGTAACAGATCAGTTTTCTAATGTGTGCTGCAATTCCAACAGCAGAGGGAAAAAAAATAAAAGAGCCATCATCGAAGTTAATGTAAATTAAAGTGACAATGTGATGCTGTTTGTGTTGCCACGGCTGGGTCACATTTTGGCTGTGTTGACCTCTACAAGATGCATCTATATGTATTCCTGCAGCAGAGAATCCATTCTGAAGAGGATACCGTGAATAAAAGAATCAGTGAAAATGTGGCACTTCCAGTTTCAGTTTACTTCCAGGTGATTTTAACCTGAAACTCTGAACACAATCTGCTCCTGACCATGTTATGTGCTATGGTAATTTAATTCCGTTTGATTCAGAACCTACAACAATACAGAGAAATCCCCCAAAATCAAACAACTCCCTATGAGCAACCACTTAAAGAAAGTGGGGAGGAAAAACTCCCTTTTAACAGGAAGAAACCTCTGACAGAAACAAGCTCAGGGAGGGGTGGCCATCTGGGAAGTGTTAGCCGACACACTGTGGAGGAGAGTGAGAGGTTAATAATAATGAATGAATGCGGAGTGGTGTATAAACACACAGAGTGAGTGAAGAAGAAATACCCCCAGAAGCCTACAGCTATTGAAGCACCGTGACTCTTAACACTTTATTAGTTAATGGAGGGTTCATGGTCACCTGATCCAGCCCCAACTATGAACTTTATATTAAATTTAAAAAAAGAAAAGAAAAAAGGAAAGAAAGAAAAGAAAGTTTCAAGCCTAGTCTTAAAAGTAGAGAGGGTGTCTGTCTTTTGAATCTGACCTAGTCAAGTAAAAAGATTTCCAACCTGCACCGTTACAACACTACAACACATAACACACACAGACACTAAACTGCTTTACTGCACTGAACTGTATTCTGTTTTTACTTCGTTAAATCGGACAATTTTACACATTGTATTCTATTGAAGTGAAGTGGAACTCTATTGTAGTGCTTTACATATTTGCATAAGAAGCCAAAGACCCCAGGAGGGGACACGAATCCCTCTGGGGTTGTGTCAGGATGGTGTAAAACCTCTGCCAAATCAAACATGCAGAGCTACCCACTATTGTGACCCTTTCCTAAAGGTCAAATGGAGCAGATGAAAGTCGCTCTTTATACTATTGTACTGAGTTGCATAACCATTAAAGATAGTTGTTGTATGTTTGTTATAATTACATTTTTGGCTGCTTTAACACAGGCATGTCCAAGCTTCGGAATACATAAAGTTTATATTATCTTAAGGTGGACGTGGCCATTGTGAGTTTGGCATTCTGGTCATTGCTAAAGAAATCAAGAAATCAAATTTTTATCATATTTAATTTTAGGCTGATATCTGCAACTATTGTTGAACTGGCTTTTCTGTAGGCAGTGAAAGTTCACGCTCCAACTCCAACAATGACTGAACAGCTCCCTCTTGTGTACAATCTACAGCTTAGCGCACGAGTGGACTGTTCTGTGTGCCACATTTCAATACAGTTAAGTGGGTCAGAGTTAAACAGTGAAAGCCAGTTTTATACACTACTTTGTTGCATTGGCTTTATAAACACTTATTTCTAATTTTAAAGCAAAAGCTTGAATTAAAAACAGTCTATAGTTGTCTAACAATGATAAATAAATAAATGAAGAACTGGCACTTTACTTTTAAAATGGTGGAAAAAACATTTGTGTGGCCCAAACTTTTCAAACATACTCTAGCACGCTACATTTCGCAGCAACCAGTATGAGCACTTTTCCTGCAAATCTTCCCTGCTGTCAAGTCCGATGGGGCCAGAATTATGAAAACAAACAAGTCTGAAAACAAAGAAATTCCAGAGAAGGCTGTGATACAGATGGACAAAGACTCTGCACAGACCCTTCGCTTCTGACATTTAAAGCACAGACAAATCAGTACAGGAAATGGCGCAAATAAAAGAAGCTTGCTAAACCACAGCCCAGACGTGCTTCCTCAGCAGAAAGTTCATGACGTCACTAACTTGGCTCTATCTTGCACAAAAGAAGTCACTGCCAACAGATTTTTAAAATATATTTAAACTAGACTTAAAGGAATTCTTAATGTAAATTTTACTTTTTTTGTCAATTCTGACTACATGGTTATCATTGTATAAGCTCACTGAATAATTCTTGTTATTGATAATTGTTCTGCTCGTCCTGAAGGAAAAATTAAATCCAATTTGGTACTGGCAAAGTATACCTAATGAAGTGGCCAGTGAGTGTATTACATCCATTGTAAAGTACACGACTAAAGAAAAAGTGTTCATTATCTGTGTGCAAACAATGACAACTGTTTTTTGTGTGAAAAGAAGTTCTGTTTTTCAGTGTTTCAGTAGTTTCTAGGTAACATTCAAGAAGATGTTTCGTCAATCCCAAATTGAACAGGGTTTTTCCTGCATACAGAAATCCCCCCAAAAGCTTTAGCCAAATGAAAAATCACCTGCTCTGCACTGTCGTGAAATTGTGGTTTTTATTTTCAATCACATTACACATTTCTTATTGCAGCTACTCACTGAGCTGGAGATGCACCAGTGCTGCAGTCTTGTCTGCCGTCAGCGCCCAGACGTTCAGCTCATCGACTGATTGGACATCCTCCAGCTTAAGGAGGTCCTCTCTGATTCGCTGAGTGTCCAGGTGCCTGGGAACACCTGACACAGCAAGAGAAAACGTCAGCAAACAAATTAGTGTGCCCATCCCGCTCTACACTGTTTAAAGTAAACAGAATGCCCTGATGGGATTCTGCAACAGGAGATGGGACTTACCCTCCAAAACGATGACTCCTGTGTCTCGTAAGATGCGTAATGTGGTAAAAAGAACCAGAATGGAGAAGATGTACGTGCAGATGGGGTCTGCCAACTTTAACTCTGGCTGTGAAATCACAAAGCTACATCAAACCTCCTGAATCTTCTCAATTAATCTTCTTTTTATATTTTATTAATACAATTTATCATACATCAGACCTACACTGTTGTAAAGCTCCATAACTACTACTTCCAAAAGGCAAAATTCCCATGTTTAACAACTTCAGTGACATTTCCATTTTAGTTCGTTTAATTGGCTCTAAATGCAGGTTTGACAAGGACAAAGGGACATCAACACTTCTTTTTAACTTGTCACTGAGGAAGATAATAAAACAAAACTTTTTCACTTTATGCTGTGGAATAACATTCAAGATCATTTTCAATCAGTTATATTAAGTGTGTCTCAAATGAAATTTATGCAAAGCAAATACACCTGCAGTATTAAAAATAAATATAAGCTGTTAAAAAAAAAGCAAACAAACACATACCTTGAACCGGACAATGTAAGCAGCTATGAGCACTCCGACACTCTGGAGGAGATCTCCCAAAGCATGGATGAATGCAGCTCTTACGGCGAGGCTGCCATGTGGCCTCTGCTGCTGAGCCGACTGTGAACTTGAAGCACCAGCAGAGGCGGGAGACTGACCGTGGCTGTGGCTGTGGCCGTGGCCGTGGCTATGTGAGTGCAGGTGACCATCTTGGTTTAACAAGAAGCCCATTCTATCATAGCCAGGGAAGCAAACAAGAAGTAATTGAGTCATTTTGTATATTTTTTTCCCTGCTACCACCAGGGGTTTAAAGACTTGCAGTCACAAGCTGTGGTTAAACATTACACACTGAAGATGTGTGTAATGTTACTTACATAATGTTAACAGCCACCCCCACAGCTGCAGTGATGAGCATGACATCGCCGTCTATGCTGAAGTCCTGTTTTATTGTCCTCTGAACTGCCTCATAGAGCAGTATGCCAGTCAGTATATAGATGAGCAGCACACTGAGGACTGCTGCTACCACCTCTAGAAAGGAAGAAACAACCAGTTTATCTTTATCTACCAGTCTAGGAAATTAAGGCTTTTTTTTTTTTTAGACCATCCAATCTAATCTCGCATTTCTATTCAATGTTACTAAGTATTATCAGGCAACTTAGAATAAGACACTATCATGATATAACGCTTCTATGACACTAACCCCCCAAAAAGCAGAAATGATCTTATTCTTACTCAGTTACTATAACTCAGTTCATTCACTCTGCCCACTGTGGACCATTTTCTTCCTGTCAGGTTTAATTTTTACTGAAAGTTAAACAGAGTTTACTGCACCTTCACCCCCTGATCTAACATTTGTTTTCCAAGTTATATGCTGTTCCTGATCAAATATAATTTCTATTTATGGCTCAAACACAAGTCTAGTGTGAACCTTAATTTTAATTTAAGTGGACACCACCATGTGGGGTTTTCCCGGCTCAGAGAGACTTTTTCTTCTATGTAGGAAAAACCCTTCTATTTGTCTACTGACAAATTGTTCCTCCCCAATACCCTGTGTTAGTTTTTTCCCTGTTTTAGTTTATTTCTAGTCCACCTTAAGATCATGTTTTGCTTTGTATTATTTCACCATGTCTTATCCGAGCCAATGAGTATGCTGTTTAAGAAGACAAATCTTGGGAGAATGAAGAAATTTGTAGTGTTAAAAATCTGCTCTGTCATATTTATAAGTGTTGAACTGATAAAATGTAGCAGACCAAAGCAATCACGTGTCAAAGAGGTGCATATTAATTAATTAATGTATTAAAGAAAGAAAAAAGAAAAAAACAAAAGAAAAAACAGAACTATCCTGGTTTACATTACATTTAAATACAAAAAGAAAGAAAACTGTAAGTCAGGTTCCCTGCTGGGTCTTTTATTATCCCAGAGATTCCTCAGAGATGTCTTCCAATAACCACAGATTTCCACATTTCACAAATGGAACCAGCTAGGATGAACTTTTGGCATTTCTGACTTTTGGTCAAACAAAACAGAGAAAATTGAATGTGTTAACTAGGCCTTGCCTAGTAAACTAAACAAACTCTAAGATAAACTGATAATAAAAATTATGACGGACTGCAACTTTACAACACTTATGCTGGAATAATATTAGCTGAGGTCACAAAGCATTAGCTGAATGTAAACTAAAACACTCTAATATCAAACTATTTTCAGACACATTCCCTTCCATAGCTGATATTCTATTTCAAAGGTCTAACACAGTTTCAGCTAGAGAAGAAGAAAAGGGCAGTCAACACAAACAAATAGAGCAACTTAATCTAGGATTCGGGGGCCTTTAGATCCAAACAGAGTGACCACACTAGCCGCTGTATAAGGACTCCAAAACTTAGAAAACAATGCGTCCTGTAGTTCAAGTAGTTGCCATCTACATGAATGATTGCACTTCAACAAGAGTTTTGTAATAAATCCAGAGACACATGAAGACATTTATATATTTACTTTAACTCTACCGCCATAAAATAGAAACAGTGGTTTATAGGGATGGGTATCGTTTAGGTTTTATCCGATACTGGTGCCAAATCGGTACTTTTGAAACGGTGCCGGTGCTTAAACGGTGCTCGAACCGGTGCTTAAAGAATGGAGAACACAAAATTGGTCCAAAAACCTCTCATGTTCAGCTGGTTTTTTTGTAAAAAGATAACAATGTTAGCCTTTTCTGCAGCTATGTGGCATATATGGCATCACTCTTGGCTGGAAGCAGTGCTTAAACAATGGAAAAAACACAAACTTTGTCCAAAAACCTCTCATGTTTAGCTGTTTCCCACTTTTTCTTTGGTCATTTTAGCCTTTTTGGCCAGGGTGAAGGGAGTATCTGCCATCAAACAAGAAGACAGCCGCATGTAGCTATGATGATGTTTGCTAGTTCACCTTACATGCATTAATGTAATAACGTGGTTAGCCTACTCAACGTAAATTACACACGAACAACATTAAGCTACTCACGCAGAGAAGAACGGCTGCTGCTGCCATCATCATCCGTCATCATTTCTGCTACACTGGCAGGGCTAGGGGCCAGGACTCTATCTTCGGGTTTTTGGGGGATGTTGCTCCGGGTCCGATAACTGGCAACCCACCCGACGTGCACGGTGTGAGGTCTCGCAGCAAGCTATCAAATACGGCGCATTTCTCGGCTTTTAAAAAAAACGCTATGCGTCGCCAGGTGTTTCATCGGATTCTTGGTGTTACCTCCTTTGACAGTATCACAGTATCAGCTTAAAGCACTTGTTGCTGCTGAGTTTGCATATTTTGCTGTGAAGTACAGCCAGACTTTTGACCGCTTCGCCTTGGACATTTTTAATCTGTAGCTCTGCTCTAAAAGAACGTACGTACCTGGCCCCGCCTACTATCCTCGGAAACGTAAAATGATTGGCTAGAAGTGTATCACAGCTCAGGAAAAAAAAGCACCGAAATAAAGCACCGAAATGTGCGCTGCTTTTCGGTCTGGTTACTACCGTTTATGTCAGAACCGACACCGGTACCCATCCCTAGTGGTTTATAACCAAAGGATAAACATTCATAGCAGACAACATTAATAGAGTCAACATGACATTTATCAGTTTCTGGCAGAGCTTTTACAATTATGTATCTTTAATGCTGTAAAGCAGAGATGTCAAACGGATTTTACACCATGGGGCACATACTGCCCAAGTTTATCTTAAGTGGGCCGGACCAGTTAAAGTCCCCTTTCCATCAGTGTAAAGGAGTTTAACTACACATCTAATCCCTGAGATATCTTAATAAAAGAAATAAAAGGTGCAATTTCTCAGCACGTCTCTTTGGGCTTAAACTGTAAGAAATAAATCTTTAAAACAGAAAACGTTCTGGGAGTTCGTCGGCCAGGCAGACCTGGAATTATAACAAAAATGAGAACATACCTAGACGATGGAGTCCAAAAGTGAATCTCTTGGTTGGTGGTTTAGTCGTAAGAAAGAGGGCCAGCATAGAAAACAGAATACCCACAACATCGGCTAAGATGTGCAACGCATCGGTCATGATGGCTAAACTGTTGGACACATAACCACCTGAAAGCAAAACATAATAGTAATCACAAAACTTGTGTGTAACTAATACACCATTAAAAAGTACTGTTTTACTAGAGACAACTGAGACGTAAAGAAGACGAGCAGTCCAGTTCATGTGGGTTCAAAACAAGAACGGCAGATAAAACCTTGATTAAACATGACTTGTAGTTTGTGTTTTTCTACCATCTTTTTTTCTTTCTGGAATAATCATTTTTTAACCGGGGCTAAGTAAACTCACTAATCTATGAGATGGCTGGCGTCAAGAAATAAACAGGAGAGGTTTTAACCCATGCCTGAAATTAATGTTTGACGTGTATAATCAGTCATAGGATCTGCAGGCTGCCTGCAATCCTGACATGCAGCTTACACAGAACACCAATGAAGAAAATGCTGCCACTTTCTGACTCTCAAACTTTGAGACATGTGAATGAAATCTACTGGCTCACACTTACCTAATCTTCATGCTTTATGGTGTTTTTGTTTTAAGAAAGCTGGCCTTACATGGAAGCCTTTTATTGCTACTGACATCTCATTCGCCTCTTATCATTCATAGATCTGTTATTAAGTTTCCTCTTGTGATCAACCACACAGCGACAAAGGTCCATTTCTTACCTATAATTTCACCCGTCATAAAGAGAAAATACAGCAAAGCTGCAATGCCAAGCTTCTTCATCACCCTCCTGTGTTTGATGGCCTCCCGCTTTCTAGTGCAGCTGTCACAAGGATCCATGTTTAGCCCCGGGCTGCCCAGGCTGGAAGACGAGTCCAGCAGGGAGTCATCATCATCTGCCACCAGCGTGTTCACGGCCACACCGTTGGACGAAGCTCCGGCGGAATAGTCCGACATCTCTCCAGACACCACGACCTTCAGCTTGTTGAATCTGGGCGCCTCATCATCCGCCAGCTCGTCCGAAAAATCGAAAGGTGCCGTGTCGCTCAGGTCCCAGTCGCTTCGCTCCCTCCTGAAGGCGGACCGCACCTTGCCGAACAGGCTCCCACCTGACATCTTTGATACCGATAAGGGTGAGCTCTGTCTGTAGGCTGCTGTTCTCTGGGGTAATCATTCACGCTTTTCTAGCGGGTGCTCGACGGTGGGATTGTACGTCTACTCCATCCTAGCAACTGCAGGACAAAAAAAATAAGTGATATCAAAAACACACAGAAAGCATCCCTTCACGTTCGCACAGCTCACCGATTTCTACAGCGGGGTCTCAAAGAGCTATTTACACGACTGACAAAACGCTGAACTTACGTTTCAAATATTAAACCTCAAGTCGCTCACTTTTCCACGTGAGCCGATGAACTTTGAGTTCAACAGTCCCCCTAAAAACAGTATTGGCTAAACAGTAGCAAGCTAGCTAGTAAACGTTAGCTACCCTGTGGTGTTGGCTTGTGACTCTCACACAGTCAGAAAAGCGCGGAAGACTGTGAGGAAACATGAGCGGGACTTACCACTAACTGTTCCCTCAGACTGTTCAAACTTATTTCGTTCCCACGTTAAAAACGGTCATGTCAAATGTGGTTGAACCGTCAGAGTCGAGGAAAAGAACTACCTCTGTACTGCTGTTGACACATTCCCAGCAGCAAGTTTGGTTTCACAGGCACAGTCACGTGATTACACAGATCACATGACGGGTCTTTTTTTTTCCTTTTAAGACGCAGTGACAAATCCAAAATATTTCCGCTCTGTTTTCTTCTTTTTTGTTGCTAACATAGCCGTACTAATCACGGCTACAGTTACTGATACATGCCGATTAAACCAGGTAAGGTGCTGACTGCTGTTTACAGACTGCCGAGCCGCTGCTCTGCCTCTCGTGGATCACGCTGTGCTCATTATGGAGCAGCTGAGCAAGCTAGCTAGTTCTTCACAACCTTTACATACCTGATGCTCGATCAGCTGATATTTGCCTCTAGATAAAACAGTAAAAGCCGACTGTCTGCCTTTTCTGTGCCTCTTTGTAGGGTAGAAAAGCACTGGGTCAGTAGAATCGTCACATATGGAGGTAGAAGGAATGGAAGATGAAGGATCTTCGTCCCAAAGTGAACTTCCTCACAGTGAAGGTGTGTGTCAGTGTGTGTGTGTGTTTAAACCTCTGCTGCCTACACTTGAATTTGCGGTTGGCTTTAACTGCAAGCCCTGACATGGCAGCTCAGGCATCCTCAAGTAGTTGTAAAAGGTTTTTAATCTACAGCTGAAAGAACGGTTTGTGGAGTTACCAGTATTTCTGCATTTTTTTACGCATAACGTAGTCAAGGTTTATATAGGTCACAACTATAGATCCACACAGCATGACAAATACATTCACACGACCTCAGCAGTGTTATAGATATGTGAGAAATTTCACAAAGCC